CCCCGCCAATAACTCCATAGGCGCTGACGAGAGGCTAGTTGGGCGCTATGCTATCACTTCGTTTGAAATTAAGTAAGCTATGCATATAGTGTCTATTGGAATGTAGGAACTCTGTTACAAACAGCTCGTTGATTCCACTGGCGCGTCTATTTTGTTTGAGAGGGGTGGAAAATTAGCTGGATAGAGTTCCCTGAATCGCATCATTACCACACAGGTGTTTACTAAATGCCATGGAATACAAATCAGTCTTGAGTGACTCACCTACTCGATGAATAAAAAGCTTTGGTTTGGCTGGAAAGTTGTAATTGATCACGTTATCCAGCATCGGGATGTCAATTCCACGAGCCTAATGATCGACGTACAGATGAAAACATATTAAAAACAACATTGGCTCCCTCTCATGCACAGTTTGTCTGTTGACAGTTTCATATCAATAGGCCAGTTCCGAGTTACCTTGTGCCTCGGTTTCAAAACGAGGCCTCGTGTAAAACCTTTCATATGAAAATGAGTTTGATTTGCACGAGAATGAACCTGTAGATGGAACACATTTTCATATGAACGGTTTCGCACCAAGACTCGTTTTGACACAGAGGCAATAGGCAACTTGGAAATGGCCCATTCAGTACAATTCCGCCTAATTAAAAAAGAAAAAAACAGTAATTTTGTAACCAGTTGGGTTACGATTTGCAGTAAGTCCATACTATCAATTAATCCCGTCCGCCACCCCTTTCAAAAGGTGTTAGAAATAAATAAGTCGGAAAAAATAAAGAATCACGTAAACGCATCATAACCGAGACATTTTCACTTACAGCCACGTCAGTGACGACCATAACGTTCGTTTTCTTGTGTTGAAACTTGCCAATGTTGATCTTTCTTGCTGTAAAAAGAAAAAAAGGTTACCAAATATCTTTTTAATTTAGAGATGTCTCGCGTCCAAGCGAGTCCGGTTTAAACTGTAGATATCAAAACCCCTATATCAGCCGGATTAGAGCTTATAGAACTGACAATCAAACTATACCAAGAATTTTGGAATAAAATGAATTGTCGAAGTTTTCATGACCTCTATTAAAATGCGAGCGTCCGAATGACCTTTTCAAAGCCTTGTTTTCAATACAAGTCAAAGGGAATTTGTTCGTTTGCCCTATACGTGGACAGTAGCTAGTCTTTCAAGTTCGCCAAGGATTTGATAAGGATTTCATCGAGAATTAAGATACATTGTTTGTAGAATCGTGGCAGGAACCTTACGAATATGCAAGCTGCAAAATTCTTGACGATCTTTAAGATCTTGTGGATCCTCAAAGTTTTTTATTCATCCTTCAATTCATCCTCACAAATCTGCAATAGGATCTGCATGTAGATCTCTAAAGGATGTACAAAGATCCTTAAAAAAAATTCACCAGGGAGACGAGCTACTCCGGTAATCATTCACCATCAAGCCCTGAACTATTGGCATGTAATAACAAAAACGTTCAAGCTTTCCCACTAACCTGCTTGATCCAGGGTGCTGTAAACAAAGGAACTTTCTATTCCAGCGACTTCTAGCAGCTGTAATATACCAAGAAAATGAGAAAAAACTACATCTAATTCTGAGTGTAACTTTAAAAAGGTTAAGAGAGTTAGTCGTGGAGATGGGCTGTTCAAAAAAAACGTTGTTTAAATGTTGTTGTTTATAGTGGACACTGCACTTAGCTACACCAAGCTAGTTCACAGGCATGCCACTTGAACCGAAAGAAACAAATATGTCAACTAAACATAATAGGCTTAAAAATCCCAGCTGGCGAGAGGAAGACCAGTTGGCTATTTACAAGCATGACTGAGGAGCTGAACGAGGGTCTACCGAGAAAATAACTCCAGCTTAGTGGTCAGAGCGGGAACTGAACCCGCAGCCTCCGGATTTCAAGTCAGGCGTCCTAACCACTCGGCCACGCTGCCACGCCGCACATCTACACCCAATTTTTGTGAGAGTACCCACGGGTATCGGGGATCTTCGTTGAAAAAGGCGTTACATGTATGAGTATTTGTAGCTCAACGGACTAATAATAGGCCATTTTCGCATTATCAGTATGGGACTGGAACTAGCTTGAAACTGAGGCTAATGCAGGGAGTCTTTTCAAATGCAAATGACATTAATCTCTTTTTAATGTTATTCCCCCGCATCAGCCTCCATTCCAAGCTAGTTCCAGTCCAATACCGAGAATACGAATATGGCCTTTTTCTTCAAACTGTATCTGGGTTATTTCTTTCGTTCTGTGTACCTCTTTTAAGTATTCCACATGGTGCTTTGTAGCCGTAAAGACAAGGGTCTGTTCAGATGGTTTGACCAAGTTTTGAAGAATGTGCAACAACACAGCTGAAACAAAAACAATACAACTGAAACGATGCTTACGTAGCTGTAACAGTGTTTTTTTTTAAGCCTTTCATAGAAAATAATATTAATATATTCCGTACACAGTACCTTTTTGCGTGTTCTTTCTTTCAATCTAACGGGGTTTTTATTTTGTTCGCGCTCTCGGCTTTGTTAGAGAAAACAGCACGTCTGTGAACACACTAACATATGTAATCTCAGCAGCCTAAGTGTAAGGGGTGACAGGTAAACCCAGCTGGCTGTCTAAGACAGACACCTCCCTGACACAGACATTTGGTGTTGACGCCGAAAATCGACAGCTTAGTAAGTCATGATTACCAATGTCAAAAGAAAGGTGTGAAATTTATTGGGGGAACTTATTGAGCTACTGTACTGTAAAACAGGGTTGGGACTAACCTGGTTTGTCATCTGATCTCAGTGAAAAGAAAGCAAGCTTGAAAAGAAAAGAACAAATTGTGAAAACGACTTGTGTAACGATATAACATCATACCTAACACAAATCATGTGAAGTTTAACAGAAAGTGAAACATGTTTTTTCCTCATTGAACACACAAAAAAGTGGGAAAACAACAGGGACAACAAAATGACCTACCCTTAACTGCTCACTTAGTTTGGAGTCAACATCCAGCCTTATAAGGACAGGGTCAGTTAAACCTATCAAAGATACAAATACACTGTATCTTGTAAAACTTCATTCTGTTCTAACTCATTTTCTTTTCATTCTACGAGACGAGAGCTTGTAGCTTAGGCCCCATTCACACTATGTCGGAGGAATTTGAAAACGGAGGTTTCATTCTGAAAACGCGTTTTCAAAACCCTCCGGGTTGAAGAGGGTTTTCGAAAAGCTCCGTTTTCGTGACGGATTAGTGTGGACGGTAGGCCTAACCGTAGAAATAAAGCTGCGTTTTCAAATCTATCCGGCGTGGTGTTAGTTATAATGATTATCAATCCACATTACTGAAACATCGCACGTCGTTGAAAACTACTTGAGAACTTGCAGCTTAGTTACAAGGATTATCGTAATTATCAGCTCACATTACCTGCTTTCGTGAAATCCACTAATAATTTTGGAAGAGTTGCAGAAAACAGAAGGGTTTGTCTGAAAAGAAGGAAACAGTACTATGTCAACACAGGAGGCTGGGCTTATGTACGGCCAGCTTAACAGCTCCACCAAGGACAGAGCCAGACTCGGGAAATGATAAACTAAGGAGCTAGACTAAGGTGAACCTTTTGCATCACAAGCCTGTTCCAGGCATTTTTTATTACAGGTTGTTAGAGATTAAACACAAACGACAACAAGAGGAAAAATAAGTAGCTGGTGTCTCCAAGTAACGCTTGTTTTGTTTGTTTGTTTTTGTTTTGTTTTGTTACGGGTTTTTTTTTCACTTACTGCTCTTTGCACTGCAAAACTACACCACTAAATTGCACTCAAATGTTTGCCAAAAGAAAGAAGTTGTACTAATTCATTCGCTAAAATAAAAGTCTAAATATTTTACCATGCTTTGTTCATTGCTTTGCCAAAAAAGAAACATCTGTGAATTAAATCAAATATATTTACAAAGGTCAACTTATGTGTAGAATATTTTACCTGGAATCTGGAAGACGATTGATAATTTCATGAAGTTGCTGAGCAAACCCCATCTCAAAGAGCCTGCAAAAAAAAAAAAAAGAAAATTGTTACTTGATCAAGGAGCCAATCTCATTAATCACTGTTACTTCAGATGAACTTCGACTATCTAAGCCTAAATCTCCATGCAATTCCATGTAACTTTGAGGTGTTTGGAAATGTGGTCAAACACTGTCTTGAGTGTTTGCTTATATCTTCTCAATCAAAACTAAAACTAAGGAGAAAACAGAGAAATAAACCCTACAAATCTATGCAGATATCCAAACACTGTTGCCGTTATGATTTCCATTGTTAAACTTGATGACTTTAATGGTTTTGAGAACTAGAGATCAGCTGGCCACTATTCTGTAGTAACAATGGAGGAATCAATGTCTGTAAGCCAGGATTTGACTTTTATTACATGGCTACCTCCGTGGGTGGGCAAGATGAATCAAATCCTGCACTGTGATTGGCTACGTGAGCAGGCAAGATGGACCTATCTTGCCCGCTCCGGACTACCCGCCGTGTCCTGCAAGAAAAATTTCCCCAAGAGCCACATAATAAATCCTTTATTGACCTAGCTTGTTCGGTCAAGATGGCTGGATATTGGCCTCGTTCTTTTTTTGCGAGTTTATGGACCTCGACTCCGTCTCGGTCCATTAACACGCAAAAAAAAAAACTTGGCCAATACCCAGCCATCTTGACCTCACACTTGGTCAATAACCCATATATAAACCAGAATCAAATGTTTTTTAACCATTTTGTTATTATTGCAATATATCACATCTTTATTTCGCGGTTGAACTAAGCCTCCCTCAGCTTTGAAATTTTCAGCTTGTTACTTAATGAAGAGACCCTTTCACAAATATTACTATTATTACATGCAAAATTATATTATTGGAAAGACTTTCACAAATATTACACTGACGAAATTCAGAGAAAAATGGACAACACTATGTGCATGAGCTGCCTCAAATAACTTTGTCTCAGAGGATGTGCCACTTCTACTTTTCCCTTTTGGTTTTTTTT